AGGCACATATAGGGCAAGTGGTTAGAACATTGTTTTCTGACCATGAGACCCAGGTTTGAATTGTTATGCCCTATTTGTCAGGAAAGTGACATTATTAGTCTTGACAGATGATCCCAGCATGCAGCATCTTCAGCAAATATCTGGAAACTACACCATTGTGTAACTGGAGCTGTTTGGAAGCCATCAACGGTTGTGCTAGTATAAAGTCACGAGTCGTCATTACCAAAGGTTTGAGCCTACAAGTGGTGTTCAAACTTTTTGATCATGCGCTCGCTTCCAAAAACTGTAACTACGGTCTGCTTTACATAGTTGCACTATAAAACATAGGTGGGTTTTGTTGGTGTTGAACAAATGTTAGAATTTGTGTCTGAGCAGGTGTCTGCAATGGGGATTGGCTAGATGCCCTAGCAGATGGGTTTGCTTGAAAAACAGGTAGCTGATGTCTTCCATACTCTGGATTAGCTTACTAATGTAATGTGTTCATTCCTCATGAGAATTCCATTATTTTAGATTTATATCTAGTAAATAACTTTATTCTTTAAGTTGGTTGCTGAACCACTGTAGCTGGATATTACTATTTTTTTTCCTTATAGTTGAAACCTATTTCAAAACATTTGTGGATATATATAAAAGTAACTTGTTACTTTAAAAGAAGTTTAAAAAAAAAAAAAAAAGAATACTATCAAATTGAATGTGTGCAAAAGGATTACATAAAAAAATGACTTCTATATATAATTCTAATATATATAATATTCAAGAAAATAAATGTTTCCTTTAATATGCAAGTTATAAGCTATATTCAGACTATTGTCCTCATCTTTGTCGTCATATTTATTACATTTCGGCTGTTGTATGCTCCAGCCTCCTTCAGGTGGTTGGAATGTTGAACTGCACCTTTTATTTTGCTCACTGGGGTAGATTGTTCTAGTTCCACATGCCATGTTTAATGGATATTAGTTATCTCCGGTTTATTTCCCTCTGAAAGTTCTCCATAGCCTTAGCCAGGTATTGAACTCTTTCTTTGGGTCCTAAATTGAATCTAACTAACTATTATCCACTGTGCCATGTGTCCTTGAGGACATCTGTGTTTCTTTTTCTAATATTAACAAACCTAATTCTTCAGCAAAAATTTTACTTTGTGCCCATGTGTTGCTTTATCATTTATGTTTTTGAAGAGCTCATTTTAAATTTTTTTTATCGTTTCTCTGGCACTCCTTATTAATTTTCCCATATTGTATTCATTTCTAAAAAATGGTTTTGCTGGAAAAAGAATTTTTTTGCTTATGTGCTGATTCCTTAAGTTTACGAAAAAATGGTTTATTGTCTTGATCTCAACCTGATCCCACAGAGGGCGGTGATCTCCCAATCTTTCCATATGTAGTCAAATTATCGCATTTTTTTTAAATTTCCTCTCGTTTATTACTTTCTTTTGTTTCTTGAAGTCCCATATTAAGGTGGTGACTTGTTTCCCTTTTTTTTCTTTTTTTTTGCTTTATGAAATTTAGGCCTTTATTTATATGAATTTTAAAGATGAGGACAATAGTCTGAATAATTAAATAATGATACATGAGTACTCATCTCAGAAATATAAAAATATATAGCATGATGAAAAAAAGACGACACTTTTGTGTTAACAAAAAATTTTATTCTCTAAATGTTTGTTATTATTAAGAGGAAAGTTCAAAGTATTTTTGGGGTATTTTTTAATTTTTTTGAAATGTTCATCACGTCTGAAATTTTCGTTAAAAATCTTTTTTTTTGAAAATTCAGATAAATTTCCATTTTTTTTTTTCCATTTTTTAAAAGAAATCTTGGATGAAATCCATAAAAATCAATTATCATTTTTCAAAACTTATTTTAAGAAAATCAGAAATTATAATGTTTATTTAAAATATTTTGAACCAAAACTTAATTTAGGTTTTGTGCCAAAGCAGGTCATAAACCTTATGTCATCGTCTCTTTGACATGTGATGAATGATTATTACGAATTCCATTTTTTAATCGTTAATTTTTTTCTAAAAAAAGAAAAAATGAAATTTTTTAGATTTAAAAAACAAATTATTTTATTTTTATTTTTAAAATCAAAATTTCATGTTTATTTAAAATTTTTTTTTTTTTTTAACTTAGCTTTCACCTTTACGTTTATGATGCTTTATGGGAAATATATTGTAAAGAAATTAAAATAAAACTGTTAAGAGTGACATTAAATTTCATATTTCTTAAGAAAGGTATCTAATTAATTTATAGGTACCTTTCTTATGAAATTTTATCAGAATTGTACATAAAATACTATAATTTTATGTACATTTATTACATTCTACTGTTATTTGTATTTGCATTCATTTTATTATTAATTTTGATATTTCATTTATGGAAAAATGTCGTAACTGAGATTAATATAAAATAAGATCATATAAATTTCATAAGATGATACTGATACTTGTAGGTACCCTTCTCAGTTGAAATTGAAAAATCAAATTAACTTCTCCACATGTGTTTCACAAAAAGTAAAGGCCTTAAACAGCGAGAACAATGCTTAACTCAAATAACAACTTAATTATATTCTGGTTGGTCTTCCGTATTTTATAATTACAGCTCGATTATAAGCACAAAATTACATTTCTTAATTACTGGGTATCTTCTGATTAGTCAAAATGATACAATTTACAACGTGCTAAAAAAAAATCTATCTCATAAGGACATTTATGAAAGCCGATGCAACTAATTTTATAATATTTTAACAACTTAAATGTAAAATCTATTATAATTAATGAAATAACAAATAATTGTATTAAAATTCATTTTTCATCGAAAAAATTTTTTTGCTTTCAGAAAATATTGTCCATATTCATAAAAACAACTAAAAGCAAATAAAAGCATTTGAAATTAAATAATATCTTTGTTTTATTGAGTTTTGTATGTTACAATTCAGAGCTGATTTTCAGGTACTGCGTATCCAATTAAAAACAAAAAAAAACATGATTTGCATTCCTCAAAGCCCTGTGCTTTTTAATTATTGTAATCACTAAAACCGATATGATCAAATTTCTAGCGTTTTCATAAAATTAGTTATGGGGGGTAATAAATATTTAAAAAAAAAATATTTCTACCATGACTTTTATAAAAAAATCATATTTATAATAATTTCGATCATCTGTGAATAGTTCCTGAAAGTTTCATTAACATCCGATAATTATTTCTATTTTTGCACGATTTTTCAAATTAATGTGTGTCATACCAAAAAAAATAAAAAATTGTCTATGTTATTTACTAGTTCCGCTGATACAAATAGAAAAAGGTTTTTTTTTAATCAAAATTTAGAATGTTCTAAAAAGAAGGAAAATTTTTTAAAAATAATTAAAAAAAAACTTTGGTCTTTCCTCTTAATAATAACATAAGCATTTAGACAATAAAATTTTGTTTTTTCAAAGTTGGCGTCTTTTTCATCAAGCTATGCTCTTTTTTTAGCGATTTCTAGGTACCTAAATTGTAATCTACACTATATTTCAGTGTGTCCACAAATACTATTTTTTATCATGTTTAGTGTATATTTTAACATTTACCTTTTTATTCTTTCAACTTCATACATGTTTTTGCAATCGAAGTAGCACCTAGAGCAAAAAAATCATTTAGTTTCAAATGCCTTTTTGATGCAATAAAAAAAATAAAAAGGTAGGATAAAGCTGTTTGAATTCACTTTCAAAACAGTTAAGTGAGAATAACTAAATCATTTGTTGTAATTGAAACAATATATTGAATCTGTTACACTAGTTTATTTGACTTCTTAAATAACTGACTTTTGAAAATGAGAACTGTATAATCCTCTCAATTTAAAGAGTTTTGGCAATGCTTAATTACAGATTTCTATTTTGGTGTCTTTCACAATTTTGAATTGTTCATTTTTTTTTTTTTTTTTTTTATCTTAATGCTTTTTTTTTAAATTTTTTTTTTTTTTTTATTAAAGCAACTCCATTTCCAATTGCTTGCTTGCTTTTTTATTTTGTTTTATTACATTTTAAATATAACATACTTTAAATACATTATTCAAATTACTTTCCCTCTTCCTGTCTCTCTGCTTCAGTAATTGTAAAAAAAAAAAAAAAAAGTAGATTCTTGCTTGAATAAGTCTTTAACAGAAGTATTATATATATATATATATATATATATATGCCAATAGAAATATATAAAATCTGTTGGGTTGAATTTTTTTATTTTAGTAACCAACTTAAAATTCAGTTAAGTCAATCTTGGGAATTGTTAGCCTTTTCTTGATTAATTAGTTTAATAATTTAACTTGGTTTTGGTTATATTTGACATGTGTTTTGCAAACTTTTGTTATAGGAGACATTTTTGTGGGTAAAGTTATAAGCAAATGTATTTTAATATTTTAATTTGTGGATTATTGACTCAATTAGATTTTTGTCAAACTATGCTTGGTTAAAACAAAATACTTATTTGCAAGGTATTTTTTATACTATTTTTTTTATGGTGGTATGTTTAAAATAACTGAGCATTTTTAGATTTGAGTGAAAATTAAGAATAATATATAATCTTTAAATTTTATTTATTGGTTTTGCTTATCAAGTTAGTTAATCATAATATTAATCAGTGCACTTGATTATACTAATAAATTCATCAGAAAAAAATACTATCTAGTGTAAGTGTTACTTATTCTCTGTTGTGAAAATTGTAAATATAGTTTTTTTTTTTTTTTTTTTTTTTTGATTTGGCATACATAGAATCAAAATAATGTAGTTCACATTGGATTCTTTGTAGAAATCCTGTATCTTTACTTTTGCAGGTCAGGAATTTGGAATAACTTGACTGCTCTCTCTACTTATTATTGAACCCTAACCATGATCTCATTTGGTGCTGTTTGACTTAACAGTTATTTTGTCTAGTCAGTTACATCAATCAATTAAGCAATGACTGACACGGATGTGCTGGATTTGTATCTTGACGACGTTGATGTGGGTCCTCCTGGGGGTCTTCTGGGTGGGATGTCAGATGACAGCACTAGTTTGGGGCTGTCTTCTGCACTAACCCAGGATGACCCCTTGCAACAGTCCCCCTTCAACCAAATGCCTGGCATAGCTGCTAGTGCCCAATATGATTTCAGTCAATTTGTCACCCCCAAATTTCATCACATCAGTGACCCTTCTTTGGGTGGCAGCCAGAACTTACTTGGTCAAACTCCACCACCACACCCATCATTGAGCAATAGTGACTCCTTACTACAATCAACCAATCAGTTTAATAATTATAACATTTCCACAGGTCAGACTATAACAACTCCACAGCAACAGCAGCAACAGGATTTGGTATCAAATTCTGTTTGGAATCCACCTCAAACTAACACCTGTTTTATACAAACACAACCAGTTCAAAATCAACCTACAGAAGTGCAACAAAATGTGGCAGGTACAGTTGACTTGAATATGTCTTCATACCTGACACATCATGATTATGCATTACCAGCAGCTCAACAGCCTCTTGCCCGGTTATCTCATTTTCCAGATAATACGGACGCCAGCCAAACCTCCATACTTCAGGGATCTATTGGTCAAACTGAAGCAACCCAAATGCTAAATGTGCCTATTGTCAATACCAGTGGAGTAGACTCTCTTGGTCACATACAACAATCTCAACAACAACAACAACAACAGCAACAACAAACTACTTTGTTCACTTCAACCACTCAGGTACCACTTGCTGCTCCAGATATAACTGTTAACACCTATAATTCTTCACAGCCATTGCATAACTTTCAAGCAACTGACTATCTTGAAACACACAATCCTCAGCAGATGTTGCAGCAAGTGCAGCAACAGCAAGTCTGTAACGGGTCCACGATGTTGAACTCAGGGACCAACCAGCAGTCTGTTGGAACAAATGATGCAGCTGTCAATATAGTGCAACAGTACACTTTCCAAACAACTGCAGCTTCTAATTCTCCCCAGCTTCAACTCCAACAGTCACAGCCTGTTTCTGGATCTCAACCTGTCAGTTATCATACAGGACATTCAGTACCTCAGTACCAAGCTACATACAATGTTAGTGCAAATATTTTAAACCCATCTCCAAAGACTGCTCCTGCACCACAGCAGCAGCAACCAACACCTCAAATATCCCAGACAGAACTTGGGCATCTTACAGAACCATCTGCTACTTATAAACAAAACTTTCACCCACTAGAACAATTGGTGACTTCTGCTATGACTTCCAAACCAGATAATCGTATGGTTATCCAAGCTTCAGTAATTAATAATCAAATTGGTAACACTGTCCAAACAGCACCAGCCTCAAACTTTGTTCCAAATGGTTTTGAAGGCACTGCTTCAGCAAGTGTTGCTGAAAGTCCTGTTGTCACGGCAAATGCTCCAGAGTTACCTCAATCGGTCAGCTTTATATTCAACACTGTTTGCAATACTCTGGGACCAAACCAGTCCAAATGCCTCCTTGTCCAATGTCCTCCTTCAACACAAAGCACAAACCAATTGCAACAGCAACAACAATCTCTAGTACCAGAAACTGGAACTCAACTCTGTGTGTCATCTCCCTCGACAAGTACGTACAACAACGTTGTAAAACTCCAGCCTCAGCATACTTTTTCAAAAGGCCGCTCTTTCCATTTGATACATGCAGATCTACAAATTCCTCAAGAGAACCAGTCTCAGACAACTACAACAGTCCCCCTCTCTCAGTTATTATCATCTGGTAACATCACTCGTCTTGTCCCTCAGTCAACTGCTCAGCAAACATTTACAAATGCCTCTTGCCAAATCTCCACTGCTGCAAAACAAGTAACCCAGCAAATACATCTGACAACTGTATCACCAAAGCAGCAATCGGGAACCCAACCACTTGCGAAAGTAATTACATCTGCCAGCCCTGCTATCTTCACCTCAACTAGGGTAAGTTCATTTTATTTGTTAACTCTTTAATAATTTTTGTTGGTGTTTTTGAGACAGGGTATTATCTGCTTTGCTATTCACTGCAGTATGTTCAACCAGTTCTTGTAACTAGTCAAAAATGGTTGCAAGTTTGAGCCTTTAAAGTGTGGTTGTTGTTTGTTTGTTTGTTTTTTTTTTTTTTTTTTTTTTTTTTTTTTTTTTTTTTAAGGTTTAAAATAACTTTATGGAAAAATACTTTAACTGGCACATTGAAATATGAGAGAGATATGCCAGTGTGTTTGGCAAGGGAATTAGGATTCATTTAGCTGAGATTTTTACAGATAATGTGTTGAATTAAACTTGTGTAACTTTTTTTTTCTCATGTTTTATGTGATATTTGTGAAATATCAAGTTTTCTTGCATTTTCTTGTTCAATAAAACTAAACAATTAACTCTATTCACCATTGAATAATTAAGATTTCTATATCACCTGAAGCCTGAGAATTTGTGATATAGAAAAGTGTTGTGTGTGTATATATTTCATGAGTGGTTTATTATATAAATGTTAGCTCTATTGTCACATGTTATCTTAGAATCTAAGATTTAATTTAATGACAAGTTCTTCTTGTTGAGAAGTGATCATAAAGAAAGAATTCTGCTTCTAAAGGAGTAAAAATATCCAAAGAAAGCTAACTCGGAAGAAATAAAAAGCAATTTTTTAATAAAGTGATATCATGACTTAGTAATGTGATATTCTGTTATGCTAACAAAAGGCATCTTTATTTCAAATAGCTTTAAGTAATGCTTTGTTACCATAAGGGAATATCTCATTGAGAACAAGTTGCATAACTGATATATAGTTATTAGTTAAACTATAACTGCTACAAACCAGTTAAATTTTTTAGTCTCTTATTTTTACCTTTTATCATGCAAATTGTAGGTTAGTCATGTTTGTAATTTTACGCAGTTAATTAATAGTAATAGTCCAGTTAGATAGGCATCTTGTATGATGTTATCAAGTTTGTTTTGGAGAGCAATTTTCTAATGAAGTGAGTTTGATTCTCTTAGTGCCTCCTTACTGAAGCATTGTGTTAGTCTAAGTTAAATAACTATAGGTGCTTCACTGTGAAGCACTGATTAGAAAGCTGCCCCCCTCCCCCAGGTGGGGGACTATTAGTCAGCACCATTGTTTAAGACAATGGTTCTCAACTCTTTTTTGCTCAGACATTTTTTTCCACTATATTTCAGAATGTACTTTTCAAATTGAAGAATCTTGTAAGGGAGAAATGACAATGTAGAAAGATCAATATTCTAGTAGTTTGATACTGGGGAAATGGTCTGCTCTTTGTACTACTCCAGAAAGTACCAGACACTTTCTGCCATGCTTTCTTTTACAAGAGTCTGGTATTGCTGCCATGTTTGGACTGCTGAATCATCTCTTTTCAGCTTTGATAGCTCAAAATTGTTTACATGGGCTCGAAAGGGATGAATTATTTTCCACTTGACCAGCTCTTTCTCACCAGTGCAGCTTTACAAGCCTGTCATTAATCTATCGCTATTTCTATGGCAAATGTTTAAACAAGCTCCACTCTTTATTTCTAATAGTTCAGACCTTTTATAGCTAGGATTCACTATGCTACATTAATGGGGTTGAATTGCCCACATTTCTCTTTATTCCATTTGTAAGGAGAAAGTTCCAATCACAGCTCTTTCTGAAAAGAACTGCTATTTTGTGGAGTAAACTCCTGTGCAGAAACTTCCTTGAACACTAATATCTTAACCATTTTAAGTCAAGGGCCAGTCGCTATCTATCCTCCTTAACCTCAATTCCTTTTACCTCCTAACATTCATAGCACACCTGATTCAGTAACCCTCTACATTGAGAGATTCTTGAGCCTTGTATTAGGTGAAATTTTGTTAAAAATGAAAAAGAAAAAAACAGTTTGAATCTGCCAATTTGTGATTTTAATTTCTGTTTCATACTATAAATTTGTCTCTAAGTGAAAAAAAATTACTAGTTTAAAAATTCAATGCCTGACATTGACTTTATGCAAACGCTTTCTTTATGTAGACAAATGAAAGATTATTAAAAATTAAGGTTGTAGCATTAATGATTTACATTTATTTTTAACACATAAAGAAAAATGATTGTAAAGTGAGTCAGTTATATGAGCAGTTCTTGTAATAACATTTTTCTCTCAGGTTGTATGTGGATTGTAATTTAAATCTTTCAGTGATTAATAACTTAAGATATTCTTTCTTCAGAAGTCTTAATAATATTTTTAAAATTAATTTTTAATTTTTTAGACTATCCAAGTGAGTGGTGATAAATTAGTGCCTTCTTCCTTGAAGCCTGGCACAGAAATCACTGTTGCCCAGCCTCCAACCTCTTTGTCAACATCAATGGACTTACAGGCATCTCAAAAATTCATGATAACCACAGCTACCAGTGGTGGAACTGTTCAGGTTGGCCAAGTGACAAGAGCACCAAAATCTAAAAATCAGGCAAAAGTTGTGAGCCTTACAATTAAACCACCATGTAAAACGACTACCTCGAATACTACCATGATTGTTAAAACTGATAATAAGAAGAAGAAAACAACCCCCAAAAAAAAGAAGGTTTATAAAACTCCTCAAGATAAAGCTAATGAGATAATTGCTCAAGCTTTAGTTGATGCCCAGCAAAAAGGAATTACAGAGATCCCTCGTGTGATTCCACCATCAGGTGCAATCAGTGAAAATGCTGAAAAGCCAGCAACTGAGAAGCCAAAAAGGGTACGAAAACCAAAAGAGTCAAAGGAGGTAAAAGAATCTAAAGAGAAAAAACCAAAATCTTCGAAAAAGACAAAATCTCCCAAGAAAAAAGTGTAAGTATTTCTATTTTACCTTTCTTTATGATTACTGTTTTGCATTGTATGATATTTTATAGTATTATTCAGTTTCCCTTTTAACATATTGCAGAAGTCAAAATTAGATTGTTATTTTGATGTAATATTTACTAAATGAATTATGACAATATTATGTACTGAAAGTATTTTACATATTTCTTGGTTGCTTACATGTTCATTTCTTTAAAGAATTTATTTTGAGAATTGATCAGACTATTGATTTCATTCTTTTTGCTTTTGTTGTTAAACTTTAGCTGATCTATTCTATGGCTTTCCTCTGGTGCAGGTTGAGAACCCTTTATCTGAAATTCTTGGGACCAAAAGTCCTTTAGTTTTCAGATTTCTGGATACAGGCTATAAGATGCGTAGGCTTGGGAATGTAACCAAAGCATAAACATGATATCACATTTTATACATATACCCTGAAAGTAGTTTTATATAAAATTTAATAAATTTTGTGTACATACAGTTACAGGTAATGATGCTAGTCATATAATGCTCACACAGATTTTTAAGTGGGGAAATTAAGATTTCACATTAAAATGTTTTGTACTTTCTGTACACATACAAAAAACATTAGTACTACTTACAAAATTATATAAATGCATGACTTTTTGAATAATATCTTTACTTGAACTTGAAACACCTGGTAAATAATCCACGAATGAAGGCGTTACCGTGAAAAAAAAAACAAAAAAAAACTGGCGCTAATGTAGGTTATGTAGCTGGACTTTCTAATTTTTCATTTGTGAAAAGTCATGTCATCACCTGAAAAACTTTTGGCTTTTCAGGTAAAGGATACTCAACCTGTATTCATGTCAGGAGTAGAAAGGTGGAATTTAAAAAAAATTTTTCCTCTCTCTTTCTCTCTCTTTAGTAGAAACAAAATGAAAGTCACTTCTGGCTCTTTCCATAGGGACTATGTACCTGAAGAAAACCATAGAATAGGTTAAAATTTAGTTATAAAATAAGCAATAAAGATTTCTCTCAAAATTACATAATATAATTTGATTTATTAGGTTGATACATAAGTAACTTCCGTTTTTGGGAGCCAATTGAAGAATAAAATTGATAAACAAAAATGGAAATTATTTATGACTCAACCTAATATATTTAGTGTATACAAATGAGAGTATATCAACAGAATTGTTACTATTTTAGGAAATTAATAGGCATATTAAGCACTTTACTCTCATAGATACAGCATGCAAATGTATGCGTGTTTTAAGTATTTATTAAAAATATAAAAAATAATGATACTTATGTTGCCTTTTTATGTTCTGTTAGATTGCTCCATTAGATTTATTGAAATTCCTTTTTTATAGCTTTACTATAAAATTTAAGAATTTAAATGAAAATGTTTTCAATCTGCTACTTCCATCTTTGGTTCAGTGATAAAATGGTAGCCAAGAAAGTTCACTCCAAAGTTAGGTTTTATTACTATGAACTTTTCTAAGGAGAAAAATGTAATTTAACTATGTATCACAAACATTAATTGTAAATTTGTCCTCCTTGTTTAATTACTTGTTAGCATTATCATAAGGAAAATCTCTTATATATATTTTTTTTTATTTGAAGAAACCCCATTCCTATTAAACGAAACAAGAAGCGGGGAATTGATTCTGATAATTCAGATTTGGAAATGACACCCCCACGAATTTCTTTGGAAGATGATTCAATTCAAGTAAGTTTTAAAAGTTTTCATTAAATTTTTTTAAATATGGTCTTTTTCTTTTTATATTGTGTATTTGCTTTAATGGCGGAATTTTCACTCAAATTTATTTGTGTGTGTTGTACATTTTTTTTTACCAGATAATTATAGGCACAGCTTTAAAATTTGGTTACTTAAAAACTGATTATCAGCTTGGCTGAAGAATCTATCTTGTTGAAAAACAAGTTAGAGAGGAATGAGAAGATCACAATATTTCTAATAAAAAAAATATTTCACTATATTAGAATATTCTCCACCTTTTTTAAAATCAAATCTTGTAAAATTTGATCTAGTAAGACAACTATTACCATCTGTAAATATATATACTTTGTTTAGAGCACTAAACTTTATAACAATCATAAAAAAGAGGCACTATAATTTTTGTGCATCTACAAACTTCATTAAAAACTCTTTTAAAGGCATTTTATGAGTAATTTGGAAGTTTGCTAATTATAAACTAAAAGAAAAATCTACATGTCTGAAAAAATTCATCAGCCTCCAAACTTTGTATTGAACAAAATAAATTTTTACAATTGCATGAGATTTAGTTTCAAAATTAGAATTTATGACCATTTTAAATTAATGTGTGCTTAAAATGAGCAATGCTATTCATAAACTAGCTTTTATCCACATATTTTGTACTATTGGATGATAGAATAAATAACCTTTCCATTTAAAGTCAAGTGACTTTAATTTTCATTATATTTTTTAAAATTTATTTGTGATCAGTTTAATTTAGTTTAAACTAAAAAGACCCATGGTTAGCTTGGTAAGGAAGTTTCAGAAATTCTAAATGTACAGTGTGCAAAAACTCATTTCAATTCTTGAGTAAATTATTCATAATGTACCCACTCTCCCAGCCACAATTTCTCAAAATGCAGTTCAGAATGTCTGCTGTATAAATTCTAAATAAACTTCAATTAATGTAGTGAATTATTTAGTTCCTTCACTGAAAAAATTATCAGTTATATAATAGTTTATGCATGATTTGAATGTTTCAATGAAGGGAGTTATAGTATGAATAGATTTCAGAATAAATGATCATGATAATTGGATTGGGGGAAAAATAATGTCAGTTGACTAGCTGAGAACTGTGCTCCTCCCACCATCTACAATTATTTAATTGTGTATCAGTGTTTATATTTCTGAAGTGTGCTATTGCATGGTTAAGTACTTTTCCTGAATTAAGCCTTCTGAAATGCCCATGTCAAAAAAATATTGTAAGCTATTTTTCAATTTAAAACCAATATCCTTGAATGACAAAGGAATATATGGTTTGTCTCTGTGTTGGTAGAAAACAATCAAAAACAATTTGATTATACAAGTGTTTTTTATTATACACTGTGTTCCAAAAGTCATCAAAGGATTTCAAAATTTAATATCTTTATTTTTAGCTTTAATTCATAGTATTATGTAGAATAGATATGGGAAATAAATTTACACTAGTTGAGAAAGATTACATCTTTTAAGTGCTAACCATTTTCAGCTTCATATGAACATACCCTTTCTAAGGCATTTTCCACCACAATGTTGTAAGCTGTAGTGCTTTGATGTCTGTCTGGTTGCCCCATCTTGTATGTAAACAGATTGATAAATTTAAAGATTTGTTGGACTGATGCCCAAAAGATTAAAATCTGTCAAGATTGCCTTCAAGTTAATGCACTCTGATCTTCTTCTATACTTTCTCTTACTCTCTCAAACACTCCTTCATTCCTAACCAAATGTGGTATGCCATTTTGTGAAAGGTCACTTATGGAACCTTTAGTCTCAAAAAGATTTTCTTGCATCATAATGGCAACAATATGCTTGTTCATGTTTGGTTTAGGTAGAAACATTTCACTATTGTTTGTTTTTCAGTCCTGTATTTTTACAGGATTAATTTCCCAAACCTCCTTTATAAAATACCTGAAAGAAAACTTAAAAAGTTGTTAAACTTTCAGACTTCTGAGTGACTTTTGGGACACCTGGTATAATTTTGTTGGTCTAATGAAATGTATAGAAACTTTTGCCAAGTTAATGAACACTTTCAGTATAGTCATTACTTTTTTTATGCAAAAGATCTTTATAAATTGGTGATAAATAACTTCAAATTTCATTGAGGTGTATTAATTTTAATAATCAGAAGTGAAAAAAACAATTTAAAATTTAACTTTAAATATATGAAAGAAAATGCACTAATTGATAGGGATAATTTAAAGTTCAATGATTGCAAATTATATATTGCCTTGTTTTATGGCCAATTTCCGTAGTTGGTAGTTGACTAATTTTCTTTTGTTTCATTACCATAAAACAGTACTCAAAGGTTACAAAATAAGTTTCATTTTTTTTCTTTCTCTCTCTCTCTGTAACTTTAAAATGCTGGCTTTTATTAAAATGTGATAAAAATTCTAAGAATGTTATATTTAGTTTTTACTATTCTACATGAGTTTGACATCAATATTTTTTATATATAACAAATTCAAGTAATTAAAACCCTCAGTATTTCTCACTTCATGTTAGTCAAACAACAGAATGTTAGAATGAATGTCATTTGGTCTTGTGGTTGGGGGGAGATTGAGCATTCAAAATGTGGAAACAATTTTATATGTTCACTTTTGTATGATCAATCACAAAAACAAATGTATGAAAAAGCTACATCCACAATGAATGTCCATATATACACTGGAAAATAAAGTTAAAACACCTTGAAAGAAGATGCTAATTTTGACTTAGGTACACTGTGCGTACTTGTAGTTAATTTTCTAATAACATTTTCAAAGTTATCAGCTATCTTGTGATGTACCACTTGTACCAGTGCACTGTCTATTTCTGAGCTTTAGACTGTAACACATACTGTGCAAAACTCCAGTGTGATGGAAGTCTTGTCAAGGCAGGTATTATGCTACATAAACATGCTGCTTTTGTTCAATTAGTCATTTGCTGCATATGTTGGTAACAGTTGTCAAAATCAACATTTCTACATCTAGGATGTAGGTTCTATATGGCTATGTAGTACAGATGTTTGCCAAGATTGATACATTAAGAGAGAATCAGTGGTAGATTCCATAGAGCAAAATGTCATCACAAACAGCTGGGAATCATTTACTTGCAAGAATATAGGGTCGCATGACTTTAACCAGACTTTGATTTGAACCTCAACACTGTCATTTTTCTATTGGTATCACAAGAGTTACTTTAGAGATTAAATTACACCTGTTCATGTTCAGTGATGTAAGCACATCTGCTTTCATGTAAGTGATGCTCGTTTGTGTGTTCAGTGTAGATCTTAGGAGTGCCATCTTCCTGAATTACACACAACACGGGCCCAACTCCTGGCATCATGCTGTAGGCTGCTATAATTTACAGCTCTTGTTCATATCTGGTGTTTGTGGATAGGACATTGAGCAGCACCATAAACATCCACGACATTGCAGAAATGACAGCAGAACATGTTAGACAATGGGCTGTTTCAAAAGGATGATAACTACTTAACATGCTCTATGAGATACAATAATTTTCCTGACCAGAACCATTCCCTGGTGAACATGTATGGGACATGATGGGATGTCTCGCTCTTTCAATTAGCCCACCTACAACACTGTGTTGCATCAACAGGTGCAACAAATGTAGAATAATGTATTACAAGATGGTATTCATGAAAGTACAAACTTGTGTTAATATCCAAGGAGGATGTGTGCCTTAATAAGGAGTTTGAGTATTGTTGATAAATTTCTTATTTTGAAATCTGCAAATGAATCTACTTAGTTCTTCTAGTATATCATCAGTGTTGTATAATTCATTTATTATGTCTAATCTTGTCAGTGCTGAAATCGCTAAGGCTGCCAGCATCTATATTACAATTCTGTGTTTTGGTTTCTGTTCAATTTGGCCAGTGCTGAGTTCTTCAATATTTCTGTGTTTATTTATGTTTTTCCCTCCTTTTTTATACTAACAAACAAGGAATTGGACAAAATAAGTGAGGGGAGAGAATTCTAAGTTCTTGCTAACCTATTGATATAATCAGTATTTTTTTCCTCCTCACTCTGAGCAAGTTAGGAGTGCCATTAGTATACGGGGTTACAGAGAGGAGAAAGTGAGAGAAAAGATTGGGTATGTTGAGGGGGGAGGAAAGGATAAAAGATGAACAGGGATTAAGACAACAGATGGAGATGGATGTTGGATTTAAATTTTTGAATATTGTAAGGAAGCAAGCAGAAGGGAGTTCCACTGTCAGGAAGTGCAAGAAAAGAAACTGTTGGAGTAGAAGTGGCGGTTACATTTAACTATTTCAACAGTAAAAGGGTAGGACCTAGATGCCAATTTAGTTAGTTCATGTAGTCGGGCACCAGCTTGTCAGAGCAGTTGCCATGAAAATATTTGTAGAAAAGACAGAGGAAAGCCATGTTGGTGAGATTGCACATCCTTTAGATTTTTATTAAGAACCTTCGGATTTTAACAGCAGGAGCCTAGACACAGATATGGCAACAATATTCAATGCATGAATGAATCGTAGATTTGTAAAATGCGCAAGATGTACTCTAATGAGAAAAACCTGGCATGACACAATGAACCAACTTTCCTTGCAGTAGATGCAGCTATTGATTCATTGTAGATGTTCCATTTCAAGTCAGCTGGAAATATGAGGCCAAGAAGGTGCAATGAGACACTCTCCTGGAGTTGAGCATGAGCTATGCTGATGGCGAGCAAAAAAAATTTCTCTATGGTGGTTAAATAAGAGCTGTTTGGCTTTGGAGGCATTAAAATTTATAAGCTGTTTCCTGCCCCAGTTAAGCACTGATTGGAGGTTTTGCTAGGAGTAAATGGTAGTCTCATCTGTATAAATTCCTGCTTGGGAACTGATGACATCAGAAAGATAATTGGTGAAGATCAGAAACCGTGTAGGACTCGGGATATAGCCTTGGGGGTGGGGGAGACGCCTGCATCTGTGTGAATGGATCTGGAAACAAGCCTATTCAGAATGACTTTCATTTCAC